GGGACTAGCTGTTTCTAGCTTGTTTCATCAATTATGAAAGGAAGGAACTAATGAAATTTCCCCCAAAATATGCAGGCTGTTGGCAAAACATTCTATTTTGGGCCGTTTTTCCGTAAAAAAAGGCCTACGCCTTGACTCTCTTGTGTTGGTGCTTCTGTTCCGAAGTTCTTTTGGGCGCATACGAGTTTAAAAGCATGAGTTTTGCATTCTTACAGTATAAGTACTTTTTAGCTGGCATCTTCGGGTCGAACAACACACATAAGGAGCTTCCAGGACCCGGTAATATCAGATGCATGCGTTGTTTTGGATCTCATCGATGCAATCAAGCCGGGCGTTATCGATTATTCGCTTGTAAAAACGGGTAGTGTCCAGGTCAGTTTCTGGTTTTCATTCTAAAATTTTGCATGTTATTGCGTCCCAATATACTCCAAGAAGCCAAAGGAACCTGTGTAACTTAGCGACAAAAATCTGTGGGGAAACTTTTGCAGAAAACACATTAGCACCGACAAAACTGGTGCGTCATTGCTTAGGTTTTTTTCGTTGGAGTTTCACATGTGCCATTAACTTCAATAAGCCTTGGTGCTATTGTAAATTTTTGGCAAGTAGCTATCATAGGCCGATCCACGACGGACTCCTGGGAGGTGACGAGAGTGGGGAAGAGAGTCCCCTCCCACCCTAGAACCGTGCAAAAACTAGGAATAAATTTGGAACACTGCTACTTAGAGTTACTTTAGGCTTTAGTTTACTTTAGTTTTAGCTTTAGATCGGCCTTTTGCAGCACTGGTACCTGCACCGCTGGGGAGAGGGGGAGAGAGGGAGGGGGGAGGAGGGGGGAGCGAAAGACTCATCGTCCCCTGGATCCGCCTGTGGTACCTGTTCGAATTTCGGAACGTCTAGTGCTATTGCTTTTCCCAGTAAGAAAGCCTTCCTCATTTCATTTGTGAATTGCTGTTCTTGACGAGAACAGCAATTCTTCCTCATTTCGCTTGTTGTTGCTACCTTTATATGCCTTGAATCATTCGCTTTTTTGCTTATAGGCCAATTTGGAGAATGCGAAATATGCAATAACTTCAGGTCGTAAAATTGGTGCCAAAATATACGCTTTGCCGGAAGATATCGTTGAGGTTCGTTAAGCACATACATTTACTGTTTTGGGCTTGGGAAACAGTCCCCGTATAATTTGTTGATTTATTTTGATGGTAATACATTCCCTGTTCATTTTGATAATAACTAAAACATTTCTGTTCATTTGATTATTTTTTAATATATATTTTCAATATATTTTGTATATATATATATTTTTTATATTTAATATACATATATCACCAGCAATATCTTTAATACAGGCATGCCAAGCATGGCAGTGAGATAAGCCTGTGCTGCCCTTTTAGACAGTTGTCCAGCGAATTACCAACGAGCTTGTCGGAAGGGTGATTACTGTCTGGAGTGCAATTTTGATCATCTCCGTTTTCTCATAGATGCGCAATACGGAGGGGTTACGATTTTTGATTTTGCCCCCGCACATCTTGGAATTCCACGGAAGACTTTTTGTAGCTGCACATATTTCGACCTTTTGAGGAAAAAAAAAATTCAGAACGGTTTATCTGTTTTTTTTTAGGTTAAATCGGGGATGGTGATGACTGTGTTTGCCTGTTTGATGGCTCGTGATTACAT